GAGATTTACGACTATTATTAATGAATGAATTAATGAATGAATAGATTTTTACGACTATTATGAATGAATACGAGTTTTACGACTATTATGAATGAATGAATAAGAGTTTTACGACTATTATAAATGAATGAATGAATAAGAGTTTCACGACTATTATGAATGAATGAATGAATGAATGAATACGAGTTTTACGACTGTTATGAATGAATGAATGAATGAATGAATGGTAGTTTTACGACTATTATGAATGAATGAATGAATGAATGAATGAGTGTGAAAAAAGTTTACTGATAAAAAATAAATAAATGAATAAAATAAGTAGACATCAATTAAAAGCATACTGACTATAAAGGTCAACTTGAGCCTACAAACAAACAAATAAAACATAAATAAATCCTACAATGATAAACAAACAAATAATAAATGCATATGCAAACAAACAAATAAATGACCACTATTAACCAAACAAATAAACACATGGGTAGATGACTATAAATGTCAACTAAGGCCTACTATTAAATAAATAAATATCAACTAAAGCTTACTGACTGTAAATGTCAGCTAAAGGCCACTATTAAATAAATAAATAAATAAATAAATAAGTTACAGTTTTCAAAATAAATAAAGTTTACTGACTAATAAAGAAATAAATAAGACACTAATTAAAGAGTGCTGACTATAAATAAATGTCAACTAAAGCCTACAAACAAACAAACAAACAAAAATGAATAAATAAATAAATCAGACTATTGATAAACAAAAAATAAATGAATACATATATACGTAAATAAATAAATAAATGTCAACTAAGGCCTACAAATAAATAAATTAATGTGCACAAACAAACAAACAAACACACATATGTAGATGACTCTACAAGACAAACAGTCACATCTCAAACAGAGAGGGGACAGAAGTGTGCAGATGTTGTGGAAAATGAGTGTCATTCATTCTTCTTGGATATGTAATTACCATAAGAGACGTAAGCCAGATGGAAACGGTTTCTTAATAGATCAGGTTCATTTAATCTCATCTGTAATTGCAATGGGCAAACAGGCAGCGCTTTGATCACTCGCAGGACATCAGTCAGGCCAAGGACGTGCCGTGGATTGGAGGAAGAGAAAGAGAGGGCAAGTGTGGAGGAATGTGATTATTGATCGTCCACCTCTGTGGTTTAATCACAGAACTGAATGCTTTCCAGACTGATAGAAGTGCAGTGATCTATGCGGGATGCAAGCGGCGTGCCAAAACTAAACCGCTCTGCTTTGAATCAACAAAACTTCCCATGTGTTGTGTTGTCTATTTTGACATTACACACATGCTGCTACAGCCACTTCATTTCTCATGTCCGCACAAAATCCAATGGTTTTATTTACCACTATCAATGTGTGTAAATCGACTGCTATTAATTGTATTCATTATTTATTTTATATTTTATTGATAAAGATATTGTATTTTATATATTATATATTGTAAGTTTTAGACTGACGTCAACTAAAAATAAATAAATAAATAAATAAATAAATAAAGAAATAAATAAGACACTAATTAAAGAGTGCTGACTATAAATAAATGTCAACTAAAGCCTACAAACAAACAAACAAACAAAAATGAATAAATAAATAAATCAGACTATTGATAAACAAAAAATAAATGAATACATATATACGTAAATAAATAAATAAATGTCAACTAAGGCCTACAAATAAATAAATTAATGTGCACAAACAAACAAACAAACACACATATGTAGATGACTCTACAAGACAAACAGTCACATCTCAAACAGAGAGGGGACAGAAGTGTGCAGATGTTGTGGAAAATGAGTGTCATTCATTCTTCTTGGATATGTAATTACCATAAGAGACGTAAGCCAGATGGAAACGGTTTCTTAATAGATCAGGTTCATTTAATCTCATCTGTAATTGCAATGGGCAAACAGGCAGCGCTTTGCTCACTCGCAGGACATCAGTCAGGCCAAGGACGTGCCGTGGATTGGAGGAAGAGAAAGAGAGGGCAAGTGTGGAGGAATGTGATTATTGATCGTCCACCTCTGTGGTTTAATTACAGAACTGAATGCTTTCCAGACTGATAGAAGTGCAGTGATCTATGCGGGATGCAAGCGGCGTGCCAAAACTAAACCGCTCTGCTTTGAATCAACAAAACTTCCCATGTGTTGTGTTGTCTATTTTGACATTACACACATGCTGCTACAGCCACTTCATTTCTCATGTCCGCACAAAATCCAATGGTTTTATTTACCACTATCAATGTGTGTAAATCGACTGCTATTAATTGTATTCATTATTTATTTTATATTTTATTGATAAAGATATTGTATTTTATATATTATATATTGTAAGTTTTAGACTGACGTCAACTAAAAATAAATAAATAAATAAATAAATAAATAAATGTGATGTCAACAAAAGTATATTGACTGGTAAACAAACAAACAAACAAACAAACAATATATAAATAAATAAATATGGTCAACTAAAGCCTACTGACTATTTAAAGGGATAGTTCACCCAAAAATTAGATATTGTATTTTATATATTATATATTGTAAGTTTTAGACTGACGTCAACTAAAAATAAATAAATAAATAAATAAATAAATAAATGTGATGTCAACAAAAGTATATTGACTGGTAAACAAACAAACAAATAAACAAACAATATATAAATAAATAAATATGGTCAACTAAAGCCTACTGACTATTTAAAGGGATAGTTCACCCAAAAATGAAAATTCTGTCACTATTTACTCACCCTCATGTCGTTTCAAACCCGTAAGACCTTCGTTCATCTTCGGAACACAAATTAAGATATTTTTGATGGAATCTGAGAGCTCTCTGACTTGGGAACATTTCAGTTGCATTGCTGTCTATGGGAGGGTCAGAGAGCTCTCAGATTCCATCAAAAATATCTTAATTAAATATCTTAAATATCTTTAATAAAATAAAAATAAAGACTTCTGACTATATACTGACTGAATGAATGAATGAATGAATGAATGATCACTATATCAAAACTAACTTGTGATGAAACAGGTCTCTGACCTACTAATCTAAATCATATTTTGTTCTAGTAATATGTATATATAGCAGCTGTGGTAATACTATCATTATTTGTGAAATTATCTATTTCTAACAACCCATTCTATTTTTATGCCAATGGATTTCAGATGGAAAAGAAGTAAACACAGATTTCACCTATTTAACAGCTGCGGAAGTTTCTCCTGAAGCTCACAGCTGACAGTCTGACGGTGAGACTTTGTGAAACGATGTGCAGATTTGACATTTCCAGTCAAGACCCTCCAAAACAAAACCCAGAGGCAGACCACTCGAGACCCGGATCCAGAACAAAACCTGACCCCGAGACCCAGACCCAGACCTGCTGGTTCAAGAACCAGGCTACCAGTTTTAATGATCTGACACAGAAAAAGGTGAATTTATTGCAAAAGTTTTGATTTCCATACATTGTCATCCAGGTCTCCATGCTAGACATATTCAGTGACTTCTGGAAAATTTAGATATCAACCTGACCAGTAGTTGAAATAATTACCACCCTTAGTTTGACGGATGTGGTCTTGTCTGAGATCATATAATATAGCTGTCTTAAATGTATTTATTATATCAGTTTATGAAATCACATAAACATACCTCAGAATACAGCCATTCTGTAATATATTCCTAATTTTATAAAAAAGTAATAAATAAATATATTACTAACATTACTTAGTGCATTAACTAAAAAGAAACCAACAAAAACTTGTATTATTCTTTTGTTCTATTATTATTAACTATTATTATTAAAAAAGAACCCATGTTCATGTTAGTTCACAGTGCATCAACTAATGTTAACAGATACAAGTTTTGATCTTAAAAACGCATTAGTAAATGTTGATATTAACATTAATGAAGATTAATAAATGCTGTACAACTAGTGTTCATTATTTATATAGTAGTTAACAAATTAGATTAGTAAATGTTACAAAAAATAATAAAATAAATACATAAATAAATAAATTAACACAAACAACTGTTCAAATGTCATTAGGATATTTTTTAAAAGAAATTAGCATACAGCATTAAGTTGATCAAAAGTGACCGGAAAGACATGCATAATGTTATAAAAGATTTTTTTAAAAAGGGTATTTTATTTTATTTCATTTCATATACAAATGTATCAGGGTTTCCACAAAAAATATTATGTTTTCAACATTAATAATTATAATAGTATATGACCTAATTATATCACATTTTAAACATATAATAATAGAAAAAATATATATATATTTGAAAAATGTAATAATATTTCAGAATATTAATTAAGTTAATATCAAATAAATTGTATAAAATAAATTACTTTTTTAATATATGGAATAAACGCAAATAAATAAATGGTCTATCTATCTATTTGGTCTGTCTGTCTATCTTTTTTTTCAACAACCCAAATCAACCCACAAATTCATGATGGAGTGGATCTGATCGATTACAATCTCAAGAGCAAGTGAAACAGCTTCTGTCTTTATAACAAAGCAGAAGCGGTACAATTCCCACCTGCAGCCACTGTTCTGAAGAGGTTGCGTGTGGGTCTGAATGACTTCTCATGAGTAACAAATGAAAATCCGCTAACAATATGATGATAGAAATGTGATGCAATAAGACACGACCACAGCCGTCTCTTCTGAATAATGTATCAGTACAGTGTGCACATCCTCATCTCCCAGGAAATGTCAGAGCCCAAATCTGATTCCAAATGTCAAGTAAACATGAATCTCCTTTGCAAGAGAACGTGGTCTGGGCTCGGGAATATTGCTTCATTTCCTCGCTCTGGACTGATAAACGTGTTGGTCAGGATTGGCTCGGCTGCATATTCTCCCACACTGTGGCGATGAGATCCGCGAGTCTAACTCTTAATAAAGATGACAGAGCAGGCCTGTGTCAAGACATGTTATATTCTCCAGGCTCCCTCGAGGGACATCTCACACACTCACGAGTCCTAAATGCCAAATCTTTCCTCTCTCAACCATTTCAGAAAGTGCCTCATACTGTCCAGAAGGCATTAGTGTGGTATGGTATATCGATGCCACAGTATCACACATCCACTGATCGCCCACAGCACATTCACTGAAAAAAATGGCCAAGAAAGTCCAATCTGATTGGCTGGTGAAACTGCAAACAAAACATGGTGGGGTCAAAAAGTCTGAAACCAATCATGAACATGATCTATTTTGCTTTTTCCTCAGTCTTATTACAAATTGTGTTTTCAGCATAATAATTTGAGTAAAATGTTTTTGTAGCCTATTTAAAGGGATAGTTCACCCAAAAATTTGATGTTTATCTGCTTACCCCCAGGGCATCAAACAGTAGGTGACTTTGTTTCTTCAGTAGAACACAAACGAAGATTTTTAACTCAAACCGTTGCAGTCTGTCAGTCTTATAATGGAAGTGAATGGGAATCACGGCTTTGAGAGTCAAAAAAACATACACAAACAAAACCAAATTAAACCCTGCGGCTCGTGACGATACATTGATGTGTAAAGACACAAAACGATCAGTCAGTGCAAGAAACTGAACAGTATTTATATAGTTTTTTTACCTCTGATGCACTGCAATGTCTGAACTGTACTAATGCACTTATAAGTCTGCGATCCGCCATAAAGCAAGAAGAAGAAGA